CTATTTGCCAGAGGAATATATGCATCTTCTTGGCAGGTGACGTCATCCCTTGGGTATTTAAGAAGCCACGATCGCAGTTTTAGATCACCCCTGACGAAGACACTAGACTGGAGTGTCGAAACGTTGGGTCTTGAATACAATTCGACTGGGCTTTGTAATCATTTATTTAAACCAGAGTAGCGAGCGAAACATGATTGATATACCTGGTTGCAGTGAACGAACAAACTTTATAACCAAACTTTTTGTATTTTCACGGGGTAAAGCGCCCTGCCCTACAAAATGGCCTCGTGTATCACGGTTGACCATTTTCTACTTAAATGACAATAATAATTATAATAATAGCGCATTTGGGATGGTAGAATTTCGGTCATGTTTAATTATCATTTAATTACTATCAATTTTAATAACGGTTAATAATTACTATTTAATTACTATTGATTTTAATAATGTTTAATTAATACTATTTATTTACTATTAATTTTAATAATGTTTTATAATTACTTAATTGCTATCAATTTTAATAATGTTTATTAATTATACTATTATTATGTATTATATATATGCAGGGTCATATGAACAGCAAGTCTACATATTTCGTCCAAATATTCAGTCCATTTTATCAGGATTGATATTCAGTCTATTTTATTTCGCACCAAGTCTATTTCGTCCAAATATTCAGTCCATTTTATTATAATTTAGCTTCTCTTCTTTATCTGTTGATTTGTACAACTTGATTGAAAAATAGCACAAAATAACCAGATCTGTAAAAACCACTAGAAGAAACGCCTCGACGCTAAGTCCTGACACCACATCCGTGTTAATCTGCCCCCGCTTGAGAAAACAGTCCTTGATCACTGCCTCGAACTGATATTTAGATGCAATAAATGACGTAATATGGAATAGCTGATGACTCTGACCGATTACATCAAACGAGACTGGAACGAGCCTTTCGGGCAACCTGAACGCAGGCACCAGCCCCACTGCCGGGTTCCATAATATGTGTAAGTAATGGTGCTCTAGTGGACTTGATTTATAATAGAGTAACCAGTTCATCATGAAAGCAAATACGAATAGAAACGGCACTGAAAATGCAGCAACTCTAAGAAAGACACCTTTTGTGGAGTTTGCGTCATGACAGTGCCTTGATAAACAGCAGCCTATGAATGATATTATTACCAAAACCACGCAGATATAAGTGAATACATACGCCATCACAGAGTTCCTGGCGTGCTCAGGCGAGGTATAAGCCAAAAATGCCATAGAGGACGCACAACTGTAAACGCTTATACCCATGTAGTCGAGATAGAAAACAAAATGGCGCACTTTCAAATTCATCGATGAAAACGCATGCGCAACAGAACTCAGCAGGGGGTATAAACATAGGCCAAGCCCAACGCAAAATAATGGCCAGTAATAGTTGTCTTCAAAGAATGGCAGGTCCATTTTATAGATTGTCCAAGCGAAGTAGGCGAAGACTAGAAAATGTGACCAAAAGTTGAATGTCTCGTTGTGCCATTGGAATATGCTCAGGACGCTTTGGGTGGCGGTAATGCCCGCAGGACGATATGATGAAAGGATGAATTTGTCTTGGTAGCAGTCCGGTACCTAGAAAAAGATTATGATGACAATATTTAATCAGAATCGTCCAATTCAGCCAAAAAATTGACGTCAATTCAAATTGACTGTGTAATTTTTAGTCTAATTTGAAAGATCATTGAAAACTGTAGAGTAACTTCTTTGAAAGATTTTTTGTTTTCTTGCTTCGACATATTTCATTTTGTATGGCATGCAAAGGACCAACTTTGTACGTAACATATGCATAATGATTTACTTTAAAATGTTATATAATCTTGTCACAGTCAAATAAATTCGCTCAAAATGAATGATGAGCCCGAGATCTGTCCACAACAAGACCCATGTAGGTTTTCAACAGATTGTGTTTAGTCGTATTAAAGATATACAGCTTTTAGGGCGAAATCATATGCATCATACAAAATGAAATATTTTCAAAACGAAAAAGAAAACAAAAATCTGTCAAAGAAGTTACTCTACAGTTTTCAACGATCTTTCACATTAGACAAAAAAATAACACCGTCGATTTTCGAGTCAGATGCCCTTTAAATGGACTCCCGCTTCAAACAAAAACAATTACAACTAGAGGGCACTCAGAGACTGCATACCTCCGCCCATAGGCGTACGGGGCGGGGGGGGCGGTAGCCCCCCCAGTGTTTTGGGCAGTTGGGCAATATCCCAGTTTTTTGGGCAGATTGGGCAAATTTTTGGGCAATTTTGGTTTGCAATTAAAAAAAATGGGACAAATTCTGTCAATTTTGTATAAAATTAAGTAAATTTTTTGGCAAATTTTGTGATTTTTGG